GCGTCATGAATCAAAAGCGTGACTCTAAGAGCACCATAGACTCATTCAGAAATGATCCAGAGATCTTGTCATATCTGACTTATCCCTCCATCATACTCGTCCGCATGGTCCGACATACCAGGCAGTAATTCATTGGATACAGGCTTTATCGCTGTGTATTTCCACTACTACCGCCATCGAAAACCCTCTCGTCGCTACCACACCCTCACTTCATCCTCAAGTATCTGCTGCAACATTGTCCTTCGCTCTCGCCCCAGCGCTCTGCGCTCCGATAGACCTCTCACTGAGATTCTTCGTATCTCTCACAAGAGACTTGTTGCATTCGTCGAGTACCGCTATTCGCTCTTCCAGCTTTTCTGCACGTTCTGTGCGGCTAGCGTTCAATATCGACTCCTTGTGTAAGCCCGCTGCCCGAAGATCATCCTGCGAGATAGGTTTCTCTAACAGCAACTCAGACATGGCGTCCAAGGTCGATTCGATGGTGATAAAATGTTCAGTGAAGTGAATTCGACTCCAAGTCTTTTCGGTAGCCAGAAGTTTGGTTTCCAGAGGGCTTTTACCCTCACGAAGAACTCCGACCTCACGAGCCCATTTGATGAAGTCGTTACGCACGCCTTCGATACAGCCGGGTAACAGCTTTTCTTGCAGGCGCTCGCTCGCTCCGTTGAAACCATTAGTGACTGTCACATATCCGGCCAAACAGCTTCGGAAGAGTGTCTTGACACTGGGGCTTGCATTGTATCTCCTGGGGTCAGATTTGTCTTCTGCGTCGACTGATGTTTCCAAATTAACGACGATGTATCTGAACTCATTAATGTGCAGGCCCAGCAACCCTATTAAATTTGGGTCAGGCCGCCGGGGTCTGTGAGGACCTTCTATCCAGGAGTTTTCCTTAGATGTAAGGATCGAGTTCATGATGTGTAGCGTGTGTTCCATGGCTTCGAGCCAGCCGGTAATCGATGATTTTGTGAACGAGGGAAAATGGCAAAAGTCGTGCTTCGGCGAATTCGCTTCGTACTGGTGCAGTCCTGTGTCTTTTGCCCAACTTGCAAAACAATTGAACTCCTCCTCTAGACTGACACGTGCTGGGTTCGTATACAGGATGTCCCTCTTGAGCTCTTGGGGAACAAACTTCGCGGTCTCAGTCTTATCGAAGTGGCCCAAGGTCTTGTTACACTCGTCCAAGGCACGTTTCGTAAGCTCCCGAGCCCTGTTCAGGTGGGTTTTCTGCGGCTCATCTGTCATATCGTGAAGACCGGTATCCCTCGGTTGCTAAAAGCTTTAGCTATTTGAATGTATGTCTTTTTGAAGTACTCGTATGAGGGAAGAGTGATGCTGCATTGCTTGATGTTGAGAATTCCGCACTGACTGCGCCGATGATATGACTGGCCTGTGTACTCATAGCTATGACACAAAAAGGTGACTCTAGGGTCTGAGCGGCCTCTGCTTGTACAGAGATACTCACATATTCAGTTTCGATTGACTGTCATCAGGCACCCCAGTCTACGACGAGCCACCACCCAGCTTGATCTCTCCCTCAAAACCGTTCACGTGCATAAAGTTCGCGCGTAACGGAGTCACACTCGTGTATCCCTGCGCAACCGCCCATCCATCGTTGCCCGGCTCGCTAGCCTCAACACTCTCATATACATCCTTGAAAGTCGGCGCCCACTTGAAGTGCTTGTGTGTATACCGCATGTGCGCCTGGCCCGAAGGCGTCTCTCGTCCACTGTCCGTGCCAGACGCACCGCCCTGTATCTCTGAGTTCGCCTTCAGCTCCTTCTTGCCAAACTTCTCCTCTTGCTTGCGGATCTGGCCCTCGATGTCTGATGGCGTGTCGTCTGCTTCGGAGGGTACTTCGACGACCTGGAAACAGCTTCCGCTCTTCCACGAGTTCTGTAGCATGTTTGTCCAGAGGATCTTGCGCTCTCCCACGTTCTCGACCAACGGTACGTTGACTGTGTAGAGGTGTGTGTTTGTGTCCCAGTTGTCCCACAGGTGTTGTATGAGTTTTGCGCTGAGCTCGCTCGCGTCGCTGATGATCTTAGCGTCGTGGTTGCGGTCGAAGAACGCGTACGAGAGCGCGATGGACTTCATGCCGCATACGGCCGCCTCCATCGCGCCGCCGATTGTGCCTGATGATAGAGAGAAGATGGCGGTGCTGTTGCGACCGTAGTTCGGGCCGCTGACTACGAGATCGATCGGGCCGCGGTCGGAGAAGTAGTGGTAGAGACCGATCTGTACGCAGGACGCAGGTGTGGAGTCGACGAGTACCCATTCTTCTTCATTGGATGAGGGCGGTAGAGGCGAGTTATGCGTTGTGCCATGGTTCGTGAGACGCCCTTCGGCGTTGGTTTGGAGGGGCGCAGGGCGGTAGTACGTCGGTTGTATCTGTGGCAGTGAGTATGGCGAGCGGCGTAGTAGAAGTGGTGTGTCATACCGACTTGCCCACAAGATGTGCCTTGCCTATCCATGACCTCTGTGTATGCGGAAGAACGACTGAAACGGTGTGTCCATGCTTCTGCAGTGTTGACACCAGAGAATGTACGTATGGCGAGGACTGGTCTGATGGCGGGCCATCGTCGTTGGTAACCTAGATCGATCAGTACTTGCCATTGGCTTAGTAAGATACGACAGTCTTACGAGAATATGCATGAATGCTTATGTGGACAGTGCAGCGGGTTCTGGCGACGCTGTGTTGTGGATTGGAGATGGAGATGCAGAGGGGCAGACAGTGACGTGCGCTACCAATAAGTCCGAAGCCCGTGGCAGGCAGTCACCGCCTCATCCTTCGCGTCAACACCTCTGCGCTTTCATATTTGTTTTCGCATGGCCGTTTCTTCGACAGAACGATTGCAAATGTCGTCCGCGAACGCTGCAGGGCAATGGCAAAGTCCGTCAAACTGGCAGTGGTACCTGCGCCATGGGTAGATCCGCTGATGCGCCCTGCATCGTGCCGACGATTAGAGCTTAGCTGCGAAGAAACTCGAACTTTGATGTCGCACCTGATAGCAGTGTAAACGCTTATGAACAAGACCGATGGTATGAATAGAAGTGTTTGCGACGCCGGACTTCGTCTCGCATCTCCATGGCAGATCTGAACACCCTCATTCGGGGGTTAACCATGGCCCCTCCCCCTTCCGACGTCCGCACGACAGCCGGCACTTCATCCACGACATTTCGAAACGGGAGTGCAGAGTCTACCGGCAGGTTTAGCTGTGTGTAGCTAAAACGACCAGAGCTTCGGGAGCGAAGGTGTAGAGCCGCAGGTCCCTGAAGCAGCTATTTTCGGTGTTCGTTTCTTCGGATCCCCGCCCGTGCCCGCATACCGTGAACACCATTTGTTTCAATCCTGAGACTGAACACTCGAGATGTTTATAAAGAGGCAGCGCAAGATGAGAGAGGTGATCAGTATACCCAACCTACCTTCACCCACCACTTCAACGTCTTCAAGCTCCCTACCTTGAAGCTCTCTATTCCATCATCCAGCGACCCATAATCATCTAAACACCAACACATCATCAAAATGGTTATCAACGTTCCCACCGCCTCCCTCGAGGGACAAGTCGCTCTCATCACCGGTGCTGGTCGCGGCATTGGAAGGGGTTGTGCTATCGAGCTCGGCAAGCGCGGCGCCTCCGTCATCGTTAACTACGTTTCATCCGAAGGCCCAGCGAACGAGGTCTGCGAAATTATCAAGGGCTTCAACAACGGTGCCAAAGCCGTAGCCATCAAGGCCGATGTCAGCAAAGTCAGTGAGATCAACAGACTATTCGAGGAGGCGAAGAAGGCATTCGGCAAGATCAACATCGTCATGAGCAACTCAGGAACCGAGAGCTGGGACGTGACAGAGGAGATCAGCGAGGAGAAGTACGACCACGTATTCAACCTGAACACAAGAGCGCAATTCTTCGTTGGCCAAACCGCATATAAGCACATCGAGGACAACGGCCGCATCATCCTGATGAGCTCCATTGCTGCCGGTCTTCTCGGTGTCAAGGACCACGCCCTCTACAATGCCTCCAAGATGGCCGTCATCGGTTTCATCAAGGCATTCGCAACCGACTTCGGAAAGCGTGGCATCACCGTCAACGGTGTCGCGCCAGGAGGTATCAAGTCGGACATGTTCACACAGAACGCCTGGCATTACATCCCCGGCGGTTCGCCTGACTGGCCAGCGGAGAAGATCGAGACTCTCATGGCAAACCACTGCCCGCTTGGAAGGTGTGCCGTACCTGAGGATGTTGCGAGGGTCGTCGCTTTCCTCGCATCAGCGGACGGTGGCTGGGTCAACGGTCAAGTGCTGACCATCTCCGGTGGATCATCGCAGTAAGCTGAGACTGAGGTGGTAATGATGAACGAATGACGGCAACATTGTATGTTTTCCAGCGCATTTGATAGAGAGCCTAGTTCGTGGCCATCGCTCGAACAAAAAGAATGAACCATAACAACATCACTTGATTCGTTTCCTGCATGTGCAAAAATCACAAACTGTGTGTCATGATTGAGGTCTGTGGGCGCGACCTTGGAAGGCTCCACATACCCTGCCAAGACTTACGTCACCAAACGCGATCAGGCAACGCCATCACGTGGTTCGATCTGCCCGGGCACCTGGGCACTCATACAAGAAAAAGCCTAAACAGGCCTGCGGA